GATGGGCATGGAGGAGGGCACTTGTGGGGATGAGCACTGAGTGTTATGTGGAAACTAATTTGACAATAAACTATTTGTAAAAAAAAAAAAAAATCACATTCACCTTCAACCTCAGGGTCTTTGCTAGGTGAGGTGTTGCTCATCCAGCAGTTAAGGGATGATGCCTCTTGGAAAGGAAAGAATGATGTGAAACCCAAGTCATGTCACTGGAATATAGATCAGAGACCCCCTCAGAGATCAGATGGTGACACTGAGCCTTCTGCATCAGTTGGCCCCTCTGAAACCTCAGGCTGCCATAGGTCTTGTCTTAGGGAAGGACTGGAGTGCGTGGGGTCAGGGGATTCCAAGCTGGTGACAGCAGCAGGGGTCCCTATGTGTGCATCAGGTAAGAGATGGTCACATCATAGAACCAAAGACTTTGAGGCCTATAGAAGAATTTACAGATTACCTGGACTTAGAAACAATCTAACCTTATTTCATAGACAGGAAATAGGCCCCCACATTAAGCAGTTTGCCCAAAATCATAAATGTGACTTATAACTAAAAGGCCTTTTCAAAGGTAATTGATGTTGAAACATCTGCATTCAGATGATTTTTATATTTTATTTATTTATTTAATTTTTTAAATGTTTGTTTATTTTTGAAAGAAAAAGAGAGAATAGGAGGGGCAGAGAGAGAGGGAGAATTCCAAGCAGGCTCCATGTCATCAGCACAGAGCCCAATGCAGGGGTCGAACCCACGAACTGTGAGATCATGACCTGAGCTGAAAGCAAGAGTCAGACGCTTAACCGACTGAGCCATCCAGGTACCCCAAGATGATTTTTACATTTTAAAGGTGTCGTCCTGATCAGCTGTGTACTTTAATTCTAGCAACTGTCATGGCCAGAACTTTTCTAAAATTCTCTTAGCGAAGGAGAGCTGAAAATTTGCTTTGGCTGGTCTGTGCATTCATTAATTCCTTTGTTTTAATAATACTTAAACATGTTTCTGATTTCTTTTTTAGTCTTTAGTGTGACACATACTCTTCTATCAGCACAGGTTTTTTGTTTTGTTTTTTAAGATGGATCTCAGTGTAAATAATTAGGTTGGTTTTCTTTAGTTACATTCTTGTTTTAAGGATACACCCTAATTAACTTAATTGGACTCCTGTGTTTCCTCAGTCTCATATACAACCCATTTCTATCTAGATTAATCTCATCCATTATGTTAGTGGTTCCCAGACTGGTAATCACCGAGGCCACTTGTTAGACATACATATTCAACCCCACCACGGCGTCCTGAACCAGACTCTCCGCGTGACTGGAAATTAGAAATTTTAACAATTTAAGATGGATACAAATTTGGGAAAATGATGATTCCGTGTTATTTTGGGAGTTTAACTCTCAGCCGGCAGCTTCACCCCAAATCCCTACATGCGGATTATCCCAAGGCTCTGAGGGCAATGCCAATAAAACTTTGTGGTCTATGGAAGAATTATTGGAATAAATATACAGCTTCCTAACAGAGGCAATCCATCAACCTGTGGGGGGCTACTCTGAAAGCGAGAGAGCATCTCAGGATGATGAGGTACGTGTATACTAAGTCACAGTGCTTTATAGTGACAGCCATTCTTCAGGAAGTGCAGGAGGCAATGGGTAGTCGGTTATTGGATGGACAGTCATTCCTTTAGTCATCAAGATCTGTTGAGCAGAGCACTTGGTCAAGCACCAGGGCTGATTCATTGACGTCAACAGCACTGGTGCTCTGGTAAACTGACTGACGTCCCGGATGGGACTGCTTCTCATCCCCGTTGTCTTATATACTGCCACTGGGGCTGTCTGCTTAGGCTCTCATGAATTCACTCTCTTGATTTCCATCTCTTATCTTGGAATGTCTTGCTCTTCCTACTTTAACAACATAAAATTTAATAAATGTTTGCTGAGTGATTACTTTGTGTAAGTCACTGTGGAGGGTGGGGGTGGGGGGGAAGCAAGATGGAAAGCCACTAAGAAAAATGAATACTCAGCCAAGTTGTCGAGGCTAATAAAAATGCTTAAGCAACAGTTCCTGCTCTAAAGGAACTGAAGTTCACTGGGGGATAAATCAAAGAAATAACTATTAAAACTTGGCATTGAGACTAGTCAAGGAAAAGTAGATATAAGGCAAATACTTTGGGTGCAATAATTAAAATATTTAGTACTGATGTAAGAATAGATACATTAATGAAACCGAATAGTGAGCACAGAAATACACTCAAACATAAAAATAAATAATATTTGATAATGATCTCATTTTGAATTGGGAAGGAAAATACAAATTATTTAATAAATTATAGTGGGACAATTTTAAGTCTTCTGGAAAAGGAATTAAACTGAATCCTTACCACAGTCCTCACACAAAATTAATTCTAAATGGATATAAATGTAAAGAATTAAACTATAAATATGTTAGAGAAAACACAGGTGAGAGGCTTTCTAATTTTAAGTACAGGCGGCCTTGTTTTATTGCCGTACTGTGCTTTTTAGATACTGTGTTTTTTAAAAATTGAAGCTTTGATGTACCTGAATGGCTCAGTTGGTTGAGAATCTGACTTCAGCTCAGGTCATGATCTCATGGTTTGTGAGTTTGAGCCCTGCATTGGGCTTACTGCTATTAGTGCAGAGTCCACCTTAGATCCTCTGTCTCCCTCTCTCTCTCTGCCCCTTGTCCACTTATACTCTCTCTCTCTCAAAAATAAATAAGCATTTAATAAAAAATAACAATTAATAAAAATTTAAAAATAAAAATTGAAGGTTTGTGGCAAGTGTACCAGCACCGTTTTTCCAGCAGCATTTTCTCACTTCAAATCTCTGTGTCACATTTCAGTAATTCTCACAATCGTTCAAAATTTTCATTATCGTATTTATTGTAGTAATCTGTGATCAGTGATCTTAGATGTTACTATTGTACCAATTTTAGTATATGTGCTGCCAATGCGAGCACTTTGATGTTACTGTTGTAAATGTTTTGGAGTGCCATGAATCACACCTATATATGATGGCACACTTAATTAATAAATGTTGTGAGTGTTCTGATTGCTCCACCAACCAGCCATTCCCCCTCCACTCCCCCTCTCCTCTGGCCTCCCTACTCCCTGAGACATAACAATATTGAATTAGACCAGTTAATAACCCTAAAATGGCCTCTAAGGGTTTAAGTGAAAGGGAGAGTCGCACATATCTTTATTTTTTTATAAAAAAAAATTTTTTTTAAATGTTTGTTTATTTTTGAGAGACAGAAAGACAGAACATGAGCGGGGGAGGGGCACAGAGAGAGGGAGACACAGAATCCAAAGCAGGTTCCAGGCTCTGAGTTCCAGTCTCTCTGTCAGCACAGAGCCCAATGCGGGGCTCAAATTCATGGACCGCGAGATCATGACCTGAGCCAAAGTCGGACGCTTAACCCGACTGAGCCACCCAGGTGCCCTGCATATGTCTTACTTTAAGTCAGAAGCTAGAAATGATTAAGCTTAGTGAGGAAGGCATGTCAAAGACCAAGAAAAGCTGAAAACTAGGCCTCTTGTGCCAAACTGGACAAGTTGTGAATACAAAGTAAAAGTTCTTGGAGGAAATTAAAAGTGCTACTCCAGTGAACTCACAAATGATAAGAAGACAAAACAGTCTTATTGCTGATCTAGAGAATGTCTGAGAGGTCTAGATAGAAGATTAAACCAACCACAACATTACCTTCAGCCAAACCTTCAACTCTGTGAAGGCTGAGAGAGGTGAATATGCTGCAAAAGAAAAATCTAAAGTGAGCAGAGGTTGGTTCATGAAGTTTAAGGAAAGAAGCCATCTCTATAAAAGACAAGTGCACAATGAAGAAGCAAGTTATCCAGAAGATGTAGCTAAGATCATTAATGAAGGTGGCTACAGTAAACAACAGATTTTCAATGTAGATGAAACAGCCTTCTCTTTTGAGAAGAGTTGATCTAGGACTTTCATAGCTAAAGAGGAGAAGTCAATGTCTGGATTTAAAGCTTTAAAGGACAGATTCACTCTCTTGGTAGGGGCTAATGCAGTTGGTGACATTAAGGTGAAGCCAGTGCTCATTTACCATTCTGAGAATCCTGGGGCCCTTAAGAGTTATGCTAAATCTCTTTTGCCCATGCTCTATAAATTACAGCAAAGCCTGGTTGACGGCACATCTGTTTACAACATACTTTATTGAATATTTTAAGCCCACTGTTGAGACCTACTGTTCAGAATAATAGATTCCTTTCAAAATACTACTGCTTACTGACAAGGCACTCAGTCACCCAAGAGCTCTGATGCAGATGCACAATGACATTAATGTTGTTTTGTGCCTGCTAACACAACATCCATTTTGCAGCCTGTGGATCAAGCAATCATTTTGATTGTCAAGTCTTATTATTTAAGGAATACATTTCATCAGGCTATAGCTGCCATAGATAGTGATTCCTCTGATGGATCTGGGTAAAGTAAATTGAAAACCTTCTGGAAGGGATTTACCATTCTACACGTATTTGTGATTCATGGGAAAAGGTCAAAGTATCAACATTAACAGGAATTTGGAAGAGTTGATTCTAACCCTCATGGATAACTTTGAAGGGTTCAAGACTTTGCTGGAGGGAGTAACTGCAGATGTGGTGGAAATAGCAAGAGAACCAGAAGAGAAGTGGAGCCTGAAGATGGGACTGAAATGCCGTAACATCGTGATACAACTTTAATGAATGAGGAGATGCTGCTTATTGATGAGCAAAAAAAGTAGTTTCTTGAGACTGAATCTACTCCTGACGAAGATGCTGTGAAGACTGTGGAAACAGCAACAACAACAAAGGATTTAGGACTTAGTTGATAAAACAGCAGCAGGGTTTGAGAGGACTGTGATTTTGAAAGAAGTTCTCTGAGTAAAAGGCAATCAAATAGCATCGCGTGTTCTGGAGAAATTGTTGGTGAAAGGAAGGGTCAATTAAGTGGCAAATGTCATTTTTGTATTATTTTAAGAAATTGTCACAACCAGTGCTCGCTTTGGCAGCACATACACTAAAGTTGGAATGATAACAGAGAAGATTAGTGGGGCCTCTGTGCAAGGATGACACACAATTTCATGAAACATTCCATATATATTTTTTTATTTTCCACATGTTTATTGGAAGCATTCCATATTTTTAAGTATTTTTTGAAAATTGAGAAAAAAAATTGCCACAGCCACCCCATCCTTCAGCAACCTGAACAGTCAGCAGTCACCAATGTGGAGGGCCAGACCCTCCACCAGCATAAAGATTAAAACTCACTGAAAGCTCAGATAATGGGTAGCATTTTTTAGCAAGAAAGTATTTCTTATGTATTTATTTTTTAAAGAAATTATAATTAAAAAATTGTTTTTAATGTTTATTTATTTTTGAGAGCGAGAAAGAGATTGACAGAGCATGAGCATGAACAGGGGAGAGGCAGAGAGAGAGACATACACAGAATCCAAAGCAGGCTCCAGGCTCTGAGCTGTCAGCATAGAGCCTGATGTAGGGCTCGAACTCACAAACCATGAGATCGTGACCTGAGTGGAAGTCTAACACCTAACCACTGAGCCACTGACCCAGACTCCCCAAGAAATTATTTATAAATTAAGGTATGTACATTGTTATTTTTAAGACATAATGCTATTGTACACCTAATTGACCACAGGATAGTGTAAACATAACTTTTACTGGAAAACCAAAAAAAAAAAAAAATCAGTTGCCTCGTTTTGTTGTGATATTTGCTTTATTGCAGAGGCCTGGAACTGAACCTGCATTATCTCTGATGTATGCCTGCATAAAGTCTTTTCTAAGCATGAAAAAATAACCTAAAGGCATTTTTAAGAGTGATTTTTTACTACATAAAGATCTAAAACACACTGTAAACAAAGTCAAAGACCAATGACAATGGGAAAAATATTTAAATCACATATAACAAATAAAGGGCTGATACTCATAACATCCAAAGAAATTTTACAAGTTATAGAAAGATAAAGAACTCAAAGAAGTTTAAAGAGACATGAATTGGGTATTAATAATAAAAAATTACAAATGCAAATACAAATAGACTTCGCTAATTGAAGAAATGTAAAGGAAAGCATTTTTTGGCCTATTTGATTAGAAAATGTATTTTTTAATTGATAAAATATCCAGTACGTTTTCTTGTAAATGGAGTATAAATTAGTGTATAATTTTAGGAACAAATTTGCAACATTTATTGAAAATGGGAATGTGGCTTCTTTGGGATTCAGAAATTCTGTGTTTATAGAATTAACAGGTTTACCCCAATAGCTGTGCAAAGGTGTATGTACAAGGTCATTCACTGCAGCACTGTTCATTAAATGAAACACTGGCAATAATCAATAAGGTTAAATAGATTGTAGTACATGCATATGATAAGCTAGAGTAACAATGCTCTGAACTGATGAGATCTCAATGGGTAGTTGCTTCATTGAAAACTTTAAAATGGGGAATCATAAAAATAAACCAAATTTACGTTCAACATAAAATTTTCATCTAAACTCTCTAAATGTAAAATTATTCATCAATCCATTTAAAAAATTTTATTTATTTATTTGTTTGTTTATTTACATCCAGGTTAGTTAGCATATAGTGCAATAATGATTTCAGGAGTGATTCCAGTGATTCATCCCCTACATATAACACCCAGTGCTCATCTCAAGAAGTGTCTTCCTTAAGGCCCCTTACCCATTTAGCCCACACCCCCACCCATAACCCCTCCAGTAACCCTTAGTTTGTTCTCTATATTTAAGAGTCTCTTATGTTTTGTCCCCCTCCTTGTTTTTATATTGTTTTTGCTTCCTGTCCCTTATATTCATCTGTTTTGTATCTTAAATTCCATATATGAATGAAGTCATATAATATTTGTCTTTCTCTGATGAATTTCACTTAGCATAATACCCTCTAATTTCATCTAGTAGTTGCAAATGGCAAGATTTCATTTTTTTTATTGCTAAGTAATACTCCATTGTGTGTGTGTGTGTGTGTGTGTGTGTATCACATCTTTTTCATCCATTCATCCATCGATGGACATCTGGGCTCTTTCCATACTTCGGCTATTGTCTATAGCACTGCTATAAACATTGGGGTGCATGTGCCCCTTCAAAACAGCACACCTGTATCCCTTGGATAAATACCTAGTAGTGCAATTGCTGGGTCATAGGGTAGTTTTATTTTTAATTTTTCGAGGAACCTCCATACTGCTTTCCAGAGTGGCTGCACCAGTTTGCATTCCCACCAGCAGTGCAGAAGGGAGCCTCTTTCTCCCACATCCTCGCCAACATCTGTTGTTGCCTGAGTTGTTAATTATAGCTATTTTGACTAGTGTGAGGTGATATCTCCCTGTGGTTTTGATTTGTATTCCCTGATGATGGGTGATGTTGAGCATTTTTTCATGTGTCTCTTAGCCATCTGGATGTCTTCTTTGGAAAAGTGTCTATTCATGTCCTTTGCCCATTTCTTCACTGGATTATTTGTATTTTGGGTGTTGAGTTTGATAAGTTCTTTATGGATTTTGGATACTAACCCTTTATCTGATACATCATTTGCAAATATCTTCTCCCATTCTGTCGGTTGCCTTTTAGTTTTGCTGATCGTTTCCTTCACTGTGCAAAAGCTTCTTATCTTGGTGAGGTCCCAATAGTTCATTTTTGTTTTTGTTTCCCTTGCCTCCGGAGATGTGTTGAGTAAGAAGTATTCATCAATCTTTTGATGCTAAGCTGAAAACTTTTCCTCTAAAATCAGGAACAAGACAAGGATGCCCACTCTTGCCACTTCTATTTAAAATAGTATTCGAAGTTCTAGTCAGAGCTGTTAGGGAAAAAAAAAGAAAGAAAGAGCATCCAATCAGAAAGGAAGAAGTAAAATTGTCATTGTTTGTAGATGACATAATCTTATATATAGAAAACCCTAAAGATTCCATCAAAAAACTGTTAAAACTAATAAATTCGGTAAAGTTGCAAGATATAAAAACAGAAAAATCAGTTACATTTCTTTTTTTTCTTTTTAAATGTTTTATTTATTTCTGAGAGAGAGACAGCATAATCAGGGGAGGGTCAGAGAGAGAGGGAGACACAGAATCCGAAGCAGGCTCCAGGCTCCGAGCTGTCAGCACAGAGCCCATGAGGGGCTCAAACCCACAAACCGTGAGATCATGATCTGAGCCGAAGTCAGACGCTTAACCGACTGACCCACCCAGGTGCCCCAAATCAGTTACATTTCTATACAGCACCCTCAAACTATCTTTTTTTTTGATATATATTTTTAATATAGTTTATTGTCAAGTTAGTTTCCATATAACACCCAGTGCTCATCCCAATAAGTGCCCTTCCCCATGCCAACAACCCCCTTCCCCTCCCCCCATCAGTCCTCAGTTTGTTCTAAGTATTCAAGAGTCTCTCATGGTTTGCCTCCCTCCCTCTACCCCAACTGTTTTTCCCCCTTCCCCTCCCCTATGGTCCTCTGTTAAGTTTCTCCAGTTCCACATGAGTGAAAACATATGGTATCTTTCTCTGCCTGACTTATTTCACTTAGGATAATACCCTTGAGTTCCATCCACGTTGCTACAAATGGCAGATTTCATTCTTTTTCATTGCCATGTAGTATTCCATTGTATATATAAACTGCATTTTCTTGATCCATTCATCAGTTGGACACTTAGGCTCTTTCCATATTTGGCTATTAGAACATTCTTATCGATGTTTGTGATTGTCTTATGTATTTGGGTGTTTCTGAATTCAGTCCATAGACATTTATACTTGTTAGCTCTTCCTGATGGATAGACCCTGAAATTATTATATAATGCCCTTCTTCATCTCTTGTTACTGCCTTTATTTTTTATTTTAAAGTCCAGTTTGTCTGATATAAATATGGCTACTCCAGCTTTCTTTTTGATGTCCAGTAGCATGATAGATGTTTTCCCATCTCCTCACTTTCAATCTGAATGTGTCCTCAGGTCTAAAATGGGTCTCTTGTAAACAGCAAATAGATGGATCTCATTTTTTTAATCCATTCTGCTACTCTGTCTTTTGATTGGAGCATTTAGTCCATTTACATTCAGTATTATTATTGAAAAATACGGGTTTAGAGTTATTGTGTTCTCTGTTAGATTCATGCTTGTAGTGGTGTCTCTGGGACTTTGTGTTCCTTGCAACATTTCCCTCATAGGATCTCTTGTAGGGCTGGTTTAGTGATGATGAATTCCTCCATTTTTTGTTGGGGTAAACCTTGATCTCTCCTTCAATTCTGAATGATAGGCTTGCTGGATAAAGGCTTCTTGGCTGTATATTTTTCCTGTTCATCACACTGAAGATTTCCTGCCATTCCTTTCTGGCCTTCCAAGTGTCAGTAGATAGGTCTGCTACTACCCTGATATGTCTCCCTCTGTATGTTGGGGCCCTTTTATCCCTAACTGCTTTCAGAATTCTCTCTTTGTCCTTGTATTTTGCCAGTTTCACTATATGTCGTGCAGATCGATTCAGTTTACGTCTGTGGGGAGTTCTCTGTGCCTCTTGGATTTCAATATCTGTTTCCTTTCCCAGGTTGGGGAAGTTCTCAGGTATTATTTGTTCAAGTACACCTTCTGCTCCTTTCTCTCTCTCTTCTGGAATTCCTATGATATGGATATTCTTCCGTTTGATTGTATCACTCAGCTTTCGAACTCTCCTTTCATGTTCCTGGACCAATTTCTCTCTCTTTTTCTCGGCTTCCTCTTTCTCTATAATTGTATCTTCTAATTCACGTATTTTTTCTGCCTTTTCAATCCGTGCAGTAGCCAACGCCTCCATTTTATTTTGTGTTGCATTTTTTAGTTCATCAGTATTTGCAACAATAATGGCTCAGATGTCATCCAAACCCTTTTGAAGCACAATGAGTAATTTTATGAGTATTATTCTAAATTCTTGTTCAGTTATGTTGCTTAGATCGGTTTTGAGCAGTTCTCTAGCTGTTATTTCTCCCTCGAATTTCTTTAGAGGAGAGTTCTTCCGTTTCGTCATTTTGGCTAGCTTTCTTTCTTGTTAGTTTTAAAAGCTTGTGATGTGTTCTGCCCCTGTAAGTGCTGCTATATTAATATTAAAGGAGGCTCATACACTC